CGGCTTAAATAGAGGCGCCCCGAGCTCCTTCCCGCCGCCCCCTCCCCTAGCGGCTCCCCGGGGGTTTCCCGAGGGGGTTTCCCGCCCTGACCCCCGACCCCGGAGGCGACAGAGAGGCAGGGGCTGGGGGCCAAGACGGGGGCGGGGCCGAGGTAACAGCAGCCGGGGCGGCGGCGCTGGGCCGATTCCAAGTCTCACTTTTAGAAACGGGAAGATCGGAAAATGCGGGCCGGAGAGGGGTGACCCTCGAGGTCAGTTGAAGGGAAATCGGAAGCAGGCCCAGGGTCCGCGCCGCCCCCGCCGGTCCCCCGTCGGCCGGAATCTCGGCTCCACTGCCCGGAGCGGCCGCGCGGGGGCGACAGAGAGCAGCCTCCTCCGGGCGCCGGGTGCGGGCTGGGGGACCTCCTGGGGGTGGGGTCACCTGGGGGTGAGAGTCTCTGGAGGTGGAGGTCACCTAGGGGTGGACCCTCCTGGAGGAAGGGGTCCTTGGGGGTGGGGTCACCTGGGGATGAGGGTCTTGGGGGGGTGGTGGGGACTCCTGGGGCTGATGGGGCTGAGGCCCTGTGGACCCCACCAGGGCCTGGGACATGTCACCACCCGCTTCTGACCTTGTCTCCCCCCATCAAACAGGAGGCCTGATGGAACCTGGGAGCCCCGGGCATGGGGCCGCCTCTGGGCTCCCTTCCACACGGGGACCTGGGTCTGGGGTCCACAGGGTCCCCCCACAGAGGCCCCCCCACTCACAACGGTTGTCAGAGAGTCCTTCTCTTGTGAACACCTGAATCTGCCCCCCATCTCCTGTACCCCTCAGGCTGCTCCCCTCTCCCTGTCTGCCCTGCGTGGCCGGTCCCCACCCAGCACCCAGAGCGGTTTAGAAACACCCTTCTGAGCACGCCGACACCCCAAGGCTGCCTGTGGCCGAAAGCAAAAAATCCAGACTGCTGGCTGTAGCCGGAGCCCTGCAGGACTGGGCAGCCTCAGGGCCTTTGCATGGCTGTGCCTTCACCCTGCTCGGTCTCTGCCCAGGCATTGCCTCCCCAGTGCTCCCCAGCCACCTTCCTGCCACCTCCTCCTCTGTGGAACTTTCTTCCGGAGCGTTTTCCCTGCAGACTTAACGAGGTCGTGTAGCCAGTCACATCTCCCCTGTCCAAAGAGCTCTTGTCTGCTGTGGCCCCTGCTGTGACCCCAGACCCCACGCACAGCAGGCACGCAGGAGGAGAAGCACGGAGGGGTCCTGGTTTGCCCCCGACCGGCCTCAGAGTGTGGCTTGTGCCTCAGTTTCCCTGGCTTTGGGATAAGAGATGGGGCAGCCAGGCCATGGGGCTTCTAAGCACCACCTGCTCTGCTCGGCTGTCTTCTCAGCCTCCTGATTGTCAGAGGCAGAAACTGAGGAGGGGCAGGGAGCAGAGGGGGAATCTGAGGCCTCTGCGGGGCGAGGGTCCAGGTGCATGAACTCTGAGTTGGTCTTTCTTGGTCCCATCCCCCTCTGGCCCCGGGTGCCGGGAAAGGCCACACAGGAAGGTGGACGCCAAGGTGCGGCCCTCCCCGGGCCGGAGGTGTGGGCCCTCCGCGGGAAGCTGGGCACTTGACCTGGGGGGGGGGGCAGCGGGCCTGATGAATGGCCTTCTTCCCAGCCCCTGACCCCACATCCTGCCACCCTCCAAGCTGAGGCCCTTGCAGGGTGTGACCCAGCTCTCCGGCCACTGACTCCCCATGGCCTGGCCCTCACCGGTCATCCCTGATGCTCAGGCAGAGCTATGATGTTCTGCCCATGTGAAGGAGGAACCTTTGGACAAATGATGGGGAGGCGGCCAGCGGCCACCCTGAAGGTTCTGGGCAGAGGTGGGGAAGAGCGGGAGCCTGGGGGCGCAGAGAGAGAGAGAAATGGGGGGCGAGGAGAAGAGGGATGGGGTGGGGGCCTGGACGGAGGGTCTGAGTGGACCCCTGGGAGCCTGAGGCCAGCACCAGTGGGGACGGGACACTTTTCCTGCCTGCACCTGGGACGCTGGTCTTGTACCTGGGAGACTGAGCCCACGGGAGCCAGTGGTGGGTGCTGGGGTTCTCCTCTGCTCCCCAGCCTGGGCTTCCTGAGGGCCGGCTGGCCGATCACCTCTTCCCGGCATGGTCCCCGCCTGGAGGAAGTCCTCGGAGGCCCCGCAGGAAGCCACTTTCCCTTGGAGGGTCCCAGCCCCCCAGCCTCGACATCCTGGCCTCCCCGTCCACCTTCCCTCGACAGCAGCGGGGTTCTGCCAGGGAAAGAGCCTCAGGCCTCAGAGGGTGTCCAGGAGGGGCCAGTGCGCCCCCCGCCCAGGAAACACCTGCTCCCTCCCTTCCCACCTCAGCTGCCCTTACTCACACCACTGGTCCACTGGGGGCCTCATGGCCCTTTCTTCGGGGTGGGCTTGAGCCGCTAAGTCCCCATTGGGTGCCCTGCCAGCTCGGGTGCTGGAGGACCCTAGATCCGACGTCACTCCTGCCTCGGTGGGTCTCGGGGATGCCAGGGAGGAGAGAGATGAGGCTGTGAGTGGTCCTTTAATAAATGACTGCCAGAAGGTTCTAGAGCGGGAAGAAGCCGTCAGTTCACTGGGCCTTCAATGGCCCACTGGTCCCCGAAATCAGCCGGCTGAGCTGGGCCGAGGAGCGTGGTGGGAAGGTGACACCGAGGGCACCACGGCGGGGGGCCAGGACCCCAAATGAACAACCAACACGGAAAGCCCGCGAGGACAGGTCGCTTAGTGAGTCTCTTTCTCCGAAGCTGAACCGAGTCTGGCAAAAAGGGAGGTGGCCGGGCGGCTGACCCAGGGCTGTCAGAGCCATCAGAGCTGGGGGTCTACGGCTGCCGGAACCCCCGGGCCGTCCGAGGGCCTGAGACTTGAGTCGTCAGGAGCATCAAGGCAGGCAGAGGCTTCGAGCGGTGATGTCTGGGTTCAGACGGGTGGAAGCCCCCAGTGGAGGTGGGGGTCCTTGACGGCCCTGCAGCCAGGCCCAGCTCCCCGGGGACTGTGGCTCGTTCCCCCGGGATGGACGAGGCTGTGCTGTCCCCCGACAGTGGCTCTTGCTCACGGGGGGCTCTGGACCAAGGGCTGTGGGGCGGCTCAGGTCCCACCACCCAGCTGTGGTGCTCAGGGCCAGGGGACTGTGCTGGGGGATGGAAAGGGCCCCTGGGGCCACAGGCCACCGCCTCGCTCAGCTCTACGAGGAACAGGTGGAGGACGAAGCCGTGGAGGTGGGGACCCAGCCCGCTGCACAGGCCACGGAGGCCGGTGACCACGCCCTGCACCTCTCCTGGGGACAGGACAGCAGGTAAGTCACCTCCCTCCTGGACACCCCCCAGGGCGGGGGCAGAACAGGCCCAAACTGGCCTTAGGAGATGCGGGCAGACCAGGGGGCAGCTCTGGGGTCATCATCTGTCTGTCTAACCAGAGAGCTGCCCGTCCAACACCCACCCACCTGTCCATCTGGCCGTCCACCCATCGTCCATCTATCCATCATCCACCCACCCGTCTGTCCATTGTAGGGGAGGAAGACTAATCCTCTACCCTCTGGGTCCTTCTGGCTGGGCTACGAGTTAAATTGACATTAGTCGGCGTAACAGGAGAAAATCACACAGCTTTATAACACGTATACACGGGAGAGACCCAGAAAAACGGGGAACTCGCCAGGATGGCAGAGGGCGCCACCTTACATACTAGCTTCGGCTCAAGACAAAGGCGGATGTTGAGGGTGGGGGGCTCAGTTACGGGGAGATTACCAGAAAGGCCGTCAACAAGAACAAGGTTATCATGCAGATTTAAGTCCTCTTCCGCATTGACAAGAGTTTCTAGAAATGAGGTCATCCCCCCTTCTTCCGGGTAACGGAGACACCTTTACAAATAGAAACTTCCCTAAGTGTCCCTTACAAAGGGTCACTTCTAGCGGTTTTCAGAGCTTTTTCTGTCTACAGTTTTTAAAAAAATAAAGACAGGCTGGCCCCATGGCGTAGTAGTTAAATTTGGCAGTGACCCTTGTTCTCGGGTTCAGATTCCGGGTGTGGACCTACACCACTTGTCAGCCATGCTGTGGCAGCAACCCACGTACAAAATAGAGGAAGATTGGCACAGATGTTAGCTTAGGGCTAATCTTCCTCAGCAAAAAACAAAAACAAAAACAAAAACAAAAACCAGCCAAAAATAAAATAATCCTCACGCCAAAAAGACAGGTCTTTTTTTTTTTTGGAGGAAGATTGGCCCTGCCTTAACATCTGTTGCCAATCTGCCTCTTTTTTTTCTTTTTTCTCCCCAAAGCCCCAGTAATAGTTGTGTATCATAGTTGTGGAGTTGTAGCTCTTCTGTGTGGGACGCCGCCTCAGCATGGCTTCATGAGCGGTGAGTAGGTCCTCGCCAGGGAGCAGAACCGGAGAACCCCGGGCCGCAGAAGCAGAGCTCGTGAACTTAACCACTACACCACGGGGCCGGCCCCCAAGACACACCTGTTGAGGTGGCAAATTCTGCTCCCCCCGCCCCCCGAATCTACTTTTTCAGCTATGCTTTTAGGAAATCTTAAATACAGATGAGATACTTCCAATGAAAATGAAGTGTTAGATTCAGGATTCTGAGGATTTAGTATGAAGGAAGAATGTGAAAAATCTCCATATTTACTAAATATTGATCACACGTTGAAACAGCAATATTTTGGACATAGTGGTTAAATATAGTACATTTTATGAAACTCATTTTGTTTGGTTTATGCCGCCCATTTCTCTCTCCGTTTCTCAGCATGGCGGCTGGAGACGGTGGGTGACCTGAGTGGCCAGCTCTGTGTCCCGTGGGTGGGGGCTCTGGCCTCTGTCTGGACCACAGAACAGAAATGTCCTGTTAGGTGAGGAGCTGCCCGTCTCCCTCTCCACCAGAGTCCAGGCTGGGACCCGGGAACCTGTTGTTCTAAGGGTTAGGACGGTGGTTCTCACCCGGGGCCACGTCTGGGGACATCTGTGGTTGTCACACTGGGGGTGCTCCTAGCATCGAGGGGTGGGGGCCAGGCATGCTGCTCCAGACCCCACAGCGCCCTGAGAACAATCCAGCCGACGCCAACAGGGTGGGATGTCAGAGGCTGGGAAACCCCAGGGGGGGGACCCAGGAGAATCGGGGACCTGTGGAGGGGGTGGGGCTGGGGGACCCGGGAGAATAGGGGACCTGCGGAGGGGGAGGGGCTGGGGGACCTGGGAGAATCGGGGACCTGCGGAGGGGGAGGGCCTGGGGGACCCGGGAGAATC